TGGTCAAGCTTAAACACAAGTCATACAGACCCCACTGTCTCATCTGAGATATAATTGAGTGGAAAGAGAAAGTATTCCGTATCTGGAAATATGTCACCGTGTCGGTACATTACACTCTCCATAACTTCAGGACGAGGACCAATTTACTAATATGTGAATATAGCCCTCGCTATGGCTTCCTGGTCTCAACCTCATCAGAATTGATGTTCCAGAATTCCTCCCCCCTATTCGTCAATAAACAGGCCGAAAAGGCGATTCCTCAGCCGGCTGTTGGGATTGATCCAAGAGCTTGAGGTGAAGATCGAAATGTTCTAGGGAGACACCCAACCTCCCATGCCTCTGCCGCCTCTGGCGTTTGATGATGTCCTCAAGCCCATTGTTCCGGTGAATCGACCACCGGGATAGAGCTGGAAGTGAGAATTCTTCGATTCTTTTCCCAATCAGATGCAAGAAATGTTTCTGCGAACGATAGCAGCATGGTATTGAGGAAGTTCTCAACACTCCAGTGGTGTTCTCGATTTGAGACAGGCCTACACCTCAAAGTGAGCAGATCAATTCTGAAAAGTTGGTTGAATCAACTTTCAGTTTCTTCTACACTACGTGCCTTAAGCTAGGGGATTTCGACTTGAAATGGTCCCTCGATAGTTCCTAGGCGAAGGTGACTCTTGGCATATCTTCAATAGTCGCTGCTTATGATAGTCAACTGAGGTGCTCAGAACCATCCGTCAGTCAGAAGCCATCGTCGAGGTAAAGGCATCTATTCTCCTACAAGTGATGCAAAAGGTACCTACGCAAATGGGACTCGAGATGATAGCATGGTCCTCAAATGCAAAAAAGAATATCAGCACAAGAAAGGGTAAGAATTTGTCAAAGCATATACAAGGAAATCGCTAACTTAATCTCAAAGATATTTCATATTCTGCTATGGTCACGAAATGTGGATCGTCACTGGGGAATGTGGTCCTGGTACCTCGATTGTCCACACAGAAGACACCAGTCAGCTACATCACCAGGCAGACTATTGGGAACACAAAAGTGACCATCTGAGGGATCGAAATCACCACCTATAATACCAAGCTGGTTCGTGTAGGGCAATGCGAGCAACCCTTCTGTCACAGGAGGTATTACCAATACCACATCAGCTTGCAGCATATGCAATGTTTGCTGAGTGTCGGCGGTGGAACACGGTCCGGTATGGGATGTTGTTGTCTAGCCCTGTCCCCACTACTAATTTCCTAACCAGACACGCACACTCAATGAGACAGGCATCATATGATCGGCAAATCGAATCGATAACTTATCTCACACCCCGTTGATTGGCGTGCTGAGAATAATGGCCGATCTTATCGATGTCCAACCCTTGGCTTTTGCTGCTTCATCTGAGCCCCGGACATATTTGCGCGATGCTCGCATCAGCACTATCTCGGACATCGAAATGTATTGGAAATATCGAGCCTACCAAATGGCACAAGCATTCTCGAATGGATATCATATGGTCAGCAAATGGAATCGATAACCCGTCGGACCATTCTCGTTTGATTGGCTCGCTGAAATGATGGCCGTGATGAGGAGATATTATCGATGTCCTCGATGTGACCATTCTCAAGATTCAATGGTTTCTGCTGCAACATCTGAGCCCAGGGCATTCATTTGCGGGATAATCGCGTTAGCACTGAATCTCTGGGCCCTGAAATATCGAGCATGTCAAATGGCACAAGCATTCTCGAATGGACATCATGACCAACAATCAAATCGATAACCCAAGTGAGCATCTCATTAGATTCGCGCTCGTGGTGATGGTCGTGATGATGGAGGAGATCTTATCGATGTCCAAGCCCAAGTTTCAATGGCTGCAGCTGCGAGATATAAGCCCATGCCATTCATTTGCTGGATAATCGTTTCAGCACTGAACTTCTTGGACCTCGAAAGGTATTGGAATACCACAAATACCGAATTTGTCACAAGGATTCTCGAATGGATATCATATGATCAGCGAATGGAATCGATGGCCCAGTCAAGCGTCCCACTTGATCCGCGCTGGTCATGATGGCCGTGATGAGAGAGGAGATCCTATCGATGTCTTCAATGTAGTCATGCTCAAAGATTCAATGGTTTCTGGGAGACATGAGCCCTAGGTCATTCATTTACGGGATAATCGCTTCGGCACTGGACATCTCAGACCTCGAAATGTATCAGAAATATCACGCATGCCAAATGGCACAGGCATTCTCGAATGAACGCCATATGGCCAGCAAATCGAATTGATAGTCCAGCTGAGCCTCTCTCTCTCATTAGATTCGAGCTTGTGATGATGGCCGTGATGAGGGAGAAGATCTTATCCTCGATGTGGCCAAGCCCAAGATTCAATGGCTGCTACTGCGAGACTGCGCACCAGGTTATCCATTTGTTGGATAATCGCCTCAGCACTGAGCATCTCAGACCTCGAAAGGTATTGGAAATACCATATATAGCGAGCTCGGCACACGCATTCTCGAATGAACATATGAGGTTGGTACCGGGATAAGCTCTCCGGAAGTGTAAGAGCCAAGCTAACAAATCACGCGAATAGTTCCACAGTTAGCTCGCGCTGGAGGCCCTTATGCTCACCACTGTAGCTGTGCCTGTGATGGCCTCTGTTGAAGTGAGAGCCGGAACGAATCTGCCTGTGGTCTCATTCCAGCTGAGATAAAGGAGTCTTCTTTGAGGTTACATGGTTCCTAGATCGTGATCTCTATGCTCACTCCCCGCTATTCCTTTGTTCGACTTTCTTCAAGCTCTCTTCAAGGCCTCTGCTCTGAGCTTCTCCTTCATAGCCTTTCAGATGTGGAGGCTGTATTTTGCCGGTCTGACTTTACGTCGCCCTGTTCATGATGATGGGGTTCTTCCCTTTCGTTTCTAAGAGGTAATGGGGATAGAACAAGGACACAGCTTACATAGGAAACGTATAACACATGTCGACTCGATGTTCTGTCTCAGCTTTCTCTTGGTATACTACACAGTATCGAGCGAGACAGTCATCCTACTTGAGGCAGCGTAAGTGGAGATTGCAGAACACCCCATGCAGTCCGCTTCCTCAAAGGGAAATCAAGAGAGTACATCTTATTCGATGACTTCGGAAAGGTGGCGATGGAAAGGCTATATCAATGACAGCCCTGTGCCATTCTTGGAGCTAGAACAACGCTCCGAACAAGGTCAGAAATGGGTGACTGTATCCATACCCATACAGACCTAGGTAGGTAAACTAAAGACATAACAATCAACATTACATTTTGCTAACTTTACCTAGTACGGGGAGAGATTCTTCTTATGGTTCGTTGTGCTGCGGGTCGACTATAAACTTCTCAGTCAATCTTCCACAGAGGTCAACCATATGCGTCTGCCATGTGGCCCTCATTTATGCTCGATAGCACCGTTCCAGACAATCAAGTCTCGACTATGGTCTCTCTTGCGGCTTACATCTTTCCATCTTACACTTACACCGAAACCGCAATCTCATTCTACAATCAAGCCCGATTTGACCTCATATATTGCCTCTGGTTCTACTTCCATGTCTCAAACAATGGATATGGAGACCGAGTCCCATGATTCGCGAGCCGTCCGTAGAATCCTGAGCTGATTCCGGACACTCGAATTCTGACGAGCGTTCCTACAAGCTTCCAGCAGCATCATCTATAGCGACCATCTCTTGAAGCTCGTCATGATAGCCCTCTCTTTCTGCGAGTTCTTCTTATAGCTGGTCCTATTGACAAAGCCTATCCAAATGACCCGGAATTGCGACACACGACCTGAGATATTTGCCTCGATCGCCTCGTGTATCAGTTTGATACCGTCTTGGCGCACAGCGAATGTCGGATGCTCCGACAGACGTACAATATTGGTTCCTACCTCTCTTTCTACCATGTCGACGATCCTGAAACTGTGGCAGGTGATGAGAGTCTCGTGGATTCCACACGGGGCAGCCCCGTTCGCGGCTGATATATTGGATATTGACGAAATACTCGAGTCAATGAATGGAGAAAAAGTTGATTTTCTGCTTATTGAAGCTATGTTCGGCATTAGGAATATTTGCCTCGATGTCTCGCGCATGCTTCTGGTAGGTAACCTCTTCGGCCCACAGCGAATGTCGGATGCTCCGACAGACAGCCTATGTGGGTTCCTATCTGTCTTCCTACCATGCTGGCGGTGCTCAAACCGTGGCAAGTGATGGGAGTCTCGTGGAGGCCACACAGGGGGTCAGTCCGGTTCGTGGCTGAGATAATGGGTATTGACGAATGCTCGAGTCAATTGAATGGGGAAGAAGAAGGCCTCATGTTGCGGTTGTTGAAGCTATGGTGCTATTTGTCATTATTTCGTGTGTGGTATCCAATATCGCAATGGAGATAGGACGTTGATTCGATAGGGCATTGAGATTTCGATTTGATGTTACCCTCACGCCGTTGTAATCTGTATACATTAAAAGTGAAAAATTATTGTAGTCTTAGATTCAACCGGTGTGTAACAGTCATTATTTGCAAGGGTAAATTCCAGAATTGATGTATTGAAGATGAAGATGTCAAGAATGGACAGATAATCTAGATATCGCCATTGAAAAAAACACAATATCCATATATAAATATCAAGTCCGGTCAATGTGAATGGTATTTCTATCATGAGCTTTTACGCTTTTATATCAGGCGACCGGTCGACGCCAGGAAAACAAACAGAAAACCAAATGGGGCCAGTTTGGAACCCTCTGCACCACTCCAAGTGGGCTATGAACAGCCTAAAGAGAACAAGAGCGACATAAAAAAAAATAGACAAGGCGCAAGCAGAGACGCCTGTCACAAAAACAGAGGGATATCATTAAGATTCAAAGAATCTAGACATGAAAACAAACAAAAATTGAGACAAATTGAACTGGGGGAAAGAAGGGGGAAAAAAGCAAAACCATAAGACTCGTATACTCGATAAGTCGTCAGGGAGGAAACCATACCCTCCACCAATACACATCACCAGACCATTCACTCTTCTTTCAAGCTTCCGACCAGATTGCGTAGCACGTCCATGATGACGGCTTCGTCTTTTGGTTCGCCGCCTGGGAAGGAGCTTTCTGTTGCATCGCCCAACACGCGTGCGCGCGCACTCCGAAGAACCTCCCGGATGTAGTTCTTGTCCTCGTAGTCTTCCATGAGAACAGCTTCAAAGTCATCGATTGCCTTATTTGCTCGCTCAGTGAACGAGGATGACTCTGATGGCCCTGGTACAGAGTTTTGCTGAACAGGGTGTTGCTGTTGTTGGTGGTGAGAGTGGGCCGGGAGGCCGGGAGGCGGATGATGTTGGTGCGGGTGTTGCTGCTGGTGCGGATGCTGCTGGTGCTGCTGGTGCTGCTGGTGCTGCTGGTGCTGCTGGTGCTGCTGGTGCTGTTGGTGCTGATGCTGCGGCTGGTGTTGGTGGTGAGATAGCGGGTGTTGCTGCTGAGGGGGATGCGACAGTGGCTGCGACTGGGGTTGGACCGGTGGCTGATGCTGCTGATGCTGATGCTGGTGTTGGAACTGTGCTCCACCAGGTGGGGGGTAGGCCCGAGGCTGCGGGTTGTTGTGAGGAGGTTGAGATGATGGCGGCTTTTGTTGTGGGTAAGGAGAATGATGCTGAGGTGGCCCCTGGGGAGGCCGTGGCGTCTGCAACTGTTGCTGCTGACCGCTTGGCGGGGCAGGGGCGGATGCGTAGGGCGAAGTGTATGTTGAAGGGATAGTCGCCGCGAATGCAGCTGGGAGGTTGTTGCGGAGCTGACTGGGGATGGGGAAGGATGCAGCAGGATTGATAGGCGGTACTGGTGTTGGTGCTGGTACCGACACGGGTGCCGACACCGGTGGCTGCGTCGCCTGCACAGGCGTGGGTGCCTGCGTAGGTGCGGGTGCAGAGGCGGGCATAGGAGCCGGAGTAGGTGTTGGCGCCGGTGACGGGATAGGAGCAGAGACAGGAGCAGGTGTAGGCACTGGCGGAGGTGCCGGTGCGGGTGCCGGCACCGGTGTTGCAGCTTGAGGCGGGGCCGGAGCAGGAGCAGAAGCCTGAACCGGGGGAGCAGGAGGAGGAGCGGTAGGTGCAGGAGCAGGGGCCTTCGATGGAGGTGGATAAGGACTGGAATGTGGTGGTCCTCCCACATTAACAGACGCCGGGAACGGAGCGGGTGGTATGGAAGGGAATTGGAAATGCTGCGGCGGATTTGGCACCGGCGGTGGGCCCTGAGGGGGTGGTGCATAAGAGTGGGACATAGGCATGTACTGCTGGGGAGCAGGCGCAGGAGGGTGAGACACCTGCGGCGGCGGCGAAGGGCGTCGTTTCTTTTCCTTCTCGACCGACGCGCCGGGAATAAGCTGCCATGACCAACCCTTACCATCTCGCTCTGCGTGCATGAACAAATGACCGTTTCCATTCAGGTTGTGCCGTACACTGGATGTCCAACCCTCAGTCTCACACTTGAAGCGGAAGTACGGATACTTCAATTTTAGGGCACGGTAGATCTGCTTCAACGTCATTGGCGTGCCGGCTTCCGTCAGAGCATCAAAGATGAGAACGGCGTAGTTGTACGGAGGTTTTGCCAGATCCTCGGCATTGTACGCAGACTCCGGAGGATAGTTGGGAGATGGTGACCGTGATGGTTTGCGCTTTTTGACCGGTGGAGGTTTGACATATTCCTGGGGGGGCTCTGCAGACATCTGGCCGCCTTCTGTTGAGGGAAGTGGAGAATCCATTGGTGTTCCGTCTGGCTTCTTTCTCTTGGTGTACTTCCGCTTCTCGGATGGCTTTGGCGACTCGGGGACGACAGATTCTTTGGCAACTGTCTTCCCGGCCTTGGGTACTTTGGGTGGAGGTGGTGTGATACCTCCGTTGGCCTCACGTTTCGCTGCATTTTTCTGCTCCCGAGCAAGCTCAGCTCGCTCGCGCTTGGACATGATTCCATCTTTAGGAGGGCGTCCTGGTCCCCGGCGACGGGCCGGCTGCGAATCGTTATCCCCAGTCTCAATAGAATCCACTGTCTGAGACGATTTAGAATCCTTTGTCTTGAGGATGATCTTCTTTGAAGGTTCCCTGCTCTCGCCGCTGTCGCTTCCCAGTCTCTCGGATTCATCAACATCGTCATCCATCTCGATCGAAGCACGGGCATCTTTCTCTTCTTCCTCCTCACGTTTTTCTGCCATCTTTTCTTCCATCCGGTCGGCTCCAGTTTCGCCGATGGGAACATCTGGTAGCAAAAAGCGGATGCGCACGCCTCCAATCTGGATGTAATCGCCGCTGTGTAACGGGCGAACCTGTCCCGGTGATAGCCAATCAGCCCCAATGAACGCTCCATTGCGTCCCATTACTTCCATTTCAAACAAATTACGATCAAAGTTGTATGAAATTCTGACATGCCTTCGAGAAATCCCTCGATGGCCTGCGGCACTGCCGTCAACAGTCGTTGGGGGGTGGATTGGAATGGTGGGACAAGAATCAGGGGATGGAAGCAAAGCTAGCGCATCAACGGGCTTTGCGTCTCCGTTACCATCTTGCAAAGACTGCATTGCAAGCGCATTGTAGTCGGTAGTTGACTGTAGCTGAGCCGGGTTTGCATGCAATGGCACAACAGCATCATCAAAAGAAGATTTTGAAGATCGTCGGCTCATGTTCATATTGTTTGGAAGATGCGGAGGAACATCTGGATCAAAGCCCATAATACCTCCCCGATCACTGACAACACTGCCCATCATAGCAGCACTTTCCTCCCGCTTCATGCGGTTGGGGGTATGAGATGTGTTTCCTCCACTTGAACTCTTCGCCCGAGTGCTGCGCACGGCCTGCCGGTACTGGAACTCTCGGTGATGGGCGGCACGGGCGGCGCGCACGTCTCGTCCTAGGATGAATGAGTAGGTATTGACATAGAAATGCCCATCATCAAACTCCAACTTGGCAAATGCTTGGATCTTAGGTTCTGATCCAGCAATTGAGGCTGCCATGTCTTGATATCCCAGGGCTGACAGATCGGCATTTTGCGACAGGAAGGCGGCTGTGAGCAGCTCGTTTTGCTGGAGAGCTTCAAATGCATTTTTCGGGGCCGCAGAAAAGTCCAAGGGCGGAAGGAGCGAGGGCTGGTCGTTGTTCAATTTCGGGTTCATGGGGTCGGACAAGGTATTCATGGCATCGGACGAACTGAATGTATGGCTCATATTGTGGTGTGCAGAATTTGTTCCCATGAGTCCGTCACCTATAGCTTTCCCATTGAGTAAGTCCTGAATCTCGCGAGATATGGAGGCGGTGTCCTGGTGTAAGCTCGGGTCGATGGGCGCGGGGTTTTGAGCGGACATGTCAAAAGACTGTGAGATCGAGTCGTCCATCTTAATATCCATATGACTATCCTGGTCCTCGTCCTGTGCAGGTTGTATTGTAGTCGGAGTAGAGTTTGTCGCAGGTTGGTTGCCAAGTAGTTGTGCTAGGAGCGCACTCGCGGCGCTCTGTGTAGTTGCATCTTGTTGATTTTGCGCAGGAAATCCGTTGCTATCTGAGCGTTCAGTCTTAATTGCGACGTCCGGGGCGGGCATGTTGGGAGTTGACGGGGCAGAATTATTCTGCATGGCGCGAATTGCGGAGTCGTCTCGAGGGTTGGAAGGGGGTGTGGTGTTCGGTGAGCAGCCATAGTCATACAGCGGGCTATCGGAGCCTGGGTCAGGCGGTCGATGGCCCACGGCTGGCGCAGTCATGGTCTGCGACGACATGACAGGCTGGTGCTGGGGAAGGGGAGAGGAATGAAGTTCCAGAAGGGAAGTTCTCAACTTGGGCCCGGGCGGTGAGCGATGGCCAAGTTGGTCGCTGCAGATGGCCGTAGTCACCGCTGAGGCATGTTTTTTTGGGGAGTTTTCTTGTTTTTCTGTAGATCTCAGTATTGCGATTTAACTTGATAATTTCACTTGAATCTGAAATTGTCAACAGTTGGAGAAATGGGAAGGAAAAGCCCCGATGATCTTCTTCCGGGACAAATTTTCTTTCCCGCCCCGCCCAAATCCATATTCTCTCCGACCTGATCCACCTGTACTATGGGTTCCTCACCGATTTTGTTGAGCCTAGATCTATATGACAATGCACTATGTTCCTATGCAATTGGTCTCTTTTTACTGCTGTAACTTCACGTTACCTCAGTCTATTGTCTTTCCAAGGTTAGTGGACTCGACTCTAATATTCAGTGGTTTGCCTCTATAATAAGGTGAGGGGAAACCATAACAGCAGAGTTAGTACTTTAGACAAATCCCTATGAAGTCCATATGTATCATATGCAAGGGGTGTATAGTAATACATATTCTGGGGAAGTAGAGTATATATAGAAACCAATCAACTCGTCAACATGTACTTCAAATGTAAGGTTGTATATTGAGATCTTATCGCGATAAAAAAAAAAGCCACCCTCTCGACCCCAACCCAACTGGATCTACATACCTTAACCTTCACCTATACTTACACCTACACCTATAGGTCTACGCACACACCTACATACTCACAAACCAAAATGGCCCCAAAAACCAAAAAACCTGACCCAAAAACCCAACCAAAGACCACCCCCAAAACACCAAACTGGCCACCCCTCCGCCCACTCCTCCCCGCCGCCGATCTAACTCTAACCCCCCTCCTCACCGACCAAATCTACCTAATTCGCAATTTCCTCTCAGGCACCCTGTGCAAAACCTACGCCTCCTTCCTCGCCTCCCTACCTCTAACAACAACACCGGGAACACCCAAGAAAGACGAAGCCCTACGCGTCAACGACCGGTTCCAGATCGACGATGCACGATTCGCAGAGATGCTATGGAGCACGACAGCGCTGAAAGAGCTTGTCACGACGCGCTTTGAAGACGAGTCTGACGGGTCCGAAGATGAGGATTCGCTTGCTGAACGCGCACGACAACTCTGGGGCGGGGAGCCATTGGGCTTGAATCCTAATATTCGGATTTATCGATACTCTGCGGGACAATTCTTTGGACAGCATTGTAAGAGCTCTTTGGATAACCAAGCATTTGGGTGCAAGCACTTGGATGCCAACGTTTTCATAGAAAACTAATCCAATCGCAGACGACGATTCCAATAACATCACCCTCCCCCCACCGAACTCGCGCTCGAAAGCAACACCCGCACGCACAACTTGGACACTCCTTATCTACCTGACATCATGTACAGGCGGTGAAACAGTCTTCTACCCTGAGCCGACGCGCGCGAATCGCAATCCGGAGCCGATAGCTGTTGCGCCGGAGGTTGGGATGGCGCTGTTGCACCGACATGGAGATCATTGTATGCTGCATGAGGGGGCTGAAGTTACCGGGGGGGAGAAGTGGGTTTTAAGGAGTGATTTGGTTGTTCCGAGGTGATAGATGATATACTAGTGATTGCATTTGGGCAGTTTGGACATAGCATAATCGTGGGCAGGTTCCTACGCGACTTCGACCTGGGGTTTGGGTATATAGACATGCATATGGGAATTTCGAATTGGGAAACACGGGTTCTAATCATTCTGCTGGATCATACCTAAGTATTGGAGGGTCCAAGTGAATAACATAGCAAAAGGAAAATATGAACAAGGACGACAGTAGGTCCCTGTCACAGATCACAGGCACGCATAAAAGAGACATTTGTAGATACAGGTCAAATAGTCGTAAAGAGTGGAAAATTTGCTGAGAAAGAGATGGGAGACAAATAATGAACATGAAAAAAAAAGGTTAGATCATCAGTTATTGGGATAGGTAGCATGCGAGTTTGGAATTCAATGTGACAGATGACAGAGCTGGATCTCGCCAATGAAGAGTCTAAATTCCAGGCCCAAAAATCCCCAGATTCAATTTCATTGTATCATATCACATTGCTTTGGAGACAGGAGATTTCTCCCCATCCAATTCATACTCGGCGCCTCTCATCATGCCCTCCACGGGACCGAGAAGCCGCTTGAATCCATCCCGACCCAACCGTGCCACCTTCACATCTGTCTTGGTACTGATGCTTGCCTGGCGCGGCTTGTCGTCCAGCAAGGCAAGCTCGCCGAAGTAATCACCTCGGCGGTAGTTCTTGACGGGCCCGGAGACACCGTTCTTGGTAGCCTCGGCTTCGCCCGATTCCAAAAGATAGAAAGCATCTCCAGGATCGCCTTCGTGGATGATGGTGGAATTAGCGGGGTACTTGATGGTGTCCAGCGCATCAGCGATCTTCGAGCGCTCATATGGCTTCAGAGAAGAAAGCAGCGGGACTTCCTCCAGGAAAGCCTCGTACATGCGACGACGTTGGAATGCTGAGTCCATTAGGATGCGGCGGAAGGTAATGCGGTCGAGGGCCCACAAATTGCTCTTTGGCTCAGTGGAGATCACAGTCGCAGCACGTGGGGCATTGTACATCAGAGCCAGTTCGCCGAAAGATCCTCCAGGTCCAATGCTAGCGACCTTGTTGCCCAATCCATCAGGGCCAGGCTGCACAGAGCCGGAGGAGTGGATATAGACGTCAAAGTTTCCCTTCTCCACGATGTAGAAGTAATCACCGGCGTCACCTTGGGAGATAACCTTGATATCCTTCGCAGGGATGGGCTTCTCAACGAGAGCGTTGAGGACAGTCAAGAATTGATCATCGTCGAGGTGGGAGAAGAGGAAATTGCTACTGACGGCGCTCTTAAGCCGGGAGACCTGTTCTTCAGTCTTTGGGTGGTGAGGAGGGGACCAGCTCTCCGAACCAGCTTCGGTGGGATTTAAAGATTCTGCTGAAACAGATGTCCGACGACCCAGCGCATAATTGCTAGGGAATCCTTGTTGTGCGGATCGTGCCGGGAGGGGGGCTAGCTCCCCCTCCTGTTCACTCTCCTCCTCTGCCGTATCCTGGAAGGGACTCCGACTGAACAACGATCTTCCCGCTTGTGGTCCTCCCTCCGCAAATGCAGTACCTCCAAATAAAGCAGTGCCTGGCGGCGAAGCACCGGTATTAGACTGTCGGAAGGTCAGGTCTGTTGGTGACGTCACTTCGAACTCGTCGTCGGAAATTTTTTGACTAGCAGATTTATCGCCAGCTCTAGTATTGATGACCGGAGTCAAACCCGGAGTAGAGTTTTGTGCCATGAGGGCGTTTGGGGGGGGTTTGAAGGCCGAAGAGGCCACAAGGTCCGGGGGTGGTTTGAAGCTAAGTGTGACGAAACAGAGGTTATATCTGTAAATTATAGAAAGGAATGGCTTTTAAAGGGATTGAGAGTCAAATGGAAAGTAGAGAGATGTAGGGAAGATAGTAGGGGAGAGGTGTAGAGTAGAAAGGGTAGTAATAAGGAAAGCAACGGAGGGGCAGACAGTGGGGAATTATTGGTTGGAGTCTATTTGGGTAAATGACTCTACTCTTTTTTTTCTTTTCCCTTTCATTCTTTTTTTTATGTCTCGGAAAGTAAAAGATAAATTAAATGAAACATTCTAAGAAAAAAAATACATGAAATTATAATCAGGTATTTACTTTTCAAAAGCTCTTAACTATTGACAATTCAAAGACGTTGAGGCAAAATGAGGGGTAGACAGGGAGAGACAGGTCTGAGCTTCGTCGATCATTTTTTTTTGGCTTCAAATTTCAGTTGAAAAGTGATCGACGTCACTCAAAAGGAAAGCTTTTTGAGACCTTCCAAGGGTCTTCTAGAACTACATATTCGCCACTACAGTGGCGGAACTCTGGATATGTCTAGGCTTATTCTGGATATGGTATGTCATGGACTTATTATTAAAATGTCACCTTATAAATTTGAATCACTTTTATAGCTTTCGAATATTCCTCTAGGGATGTTATACTTACATAAAATACTTAAATGACTTGGATTTTTTACCCCGTATATGAACAATTAAGAAACCCATCAGATATAAAGTACAAAGTCCTTATACCCTAAAGCTCTGTGGCGTCATGTCAAAAGACAAGTCTAGAACGGACGCATAGACCCAAGTCCCAGCCCCCTGAGATATCTGCATATTCCTATCTTTTTTTTTTCTATATCAAAATTATATAGCCGCTAATTCCTCCAGGGTCAGGAACTGGTCTGTGTCACACACCCCCAATTTAGCCCTTTTTTTCTTCTCTTCCCCAACCTCTTTTTTTTCTTTTCAATTTTCTCTACACAGCATCAAGATGGGAACTTTTACATTCAAGTGGTAAGTCAAGCTTCTAATGGATCTCTCGTGAGATCCTCGTGGGACAATGCTAAGACGGTTACTTGCAGGCCTGGCAATGCGAGTGAGGTGTTCGTTACAGGCACTTTCGATGATTGGGGTAAGACGGTGAAACTGGACCGGGTGGGCGACATTTTTGTCAAGGAAGTCACTATATCGCCTATACAAAAAGTCCACTACAAGGTATGGTCCTTAATATTCTTTTTTTTTTTTGACCCTCGCACCTTCCTCTTCCCTCTCTTCCCTTCTTCCCCTCTGTAGATTGGATGGCGGTGAGCCTTAGGCAACAGGCTATCTTCCACTGACGTCATCTGTGCCGCTTTCCCCATTTATATAAAGTCACCTTCCCGGGAAATCCCCAGGTTCATTACATTCAGTTCCTTTGACTGACTCACCAAGTTTGTTGTCGACGGTATTTGGACTACTGATCCAAACATACGTGAAGAAGAAGACGGGCATAACAACGTCAACAACGTACTTCTACCAGAAGAGATCAATTCCGCCCCCACTATGTCCGGCGTGACCCCTGATTCTACAACCGCGGCTCTTGCTGCTAACGTTCCCAAGGAGCCCAATGGAGATTTACCTGGTACATTCCCAGAGACTCCGGGACAGGAATCCGAACAGACCTTGTCCGTGGATCCTATCCCAGCTTCGGGGGGTTATGGCAACCCCGTCACCCTGAACCCGGGCGACAAAGTTCCTCATCACAGCGCCATCCATAACAACACGGTTGACTCGACTGTCACTTTGGACAAAGAGTCATATGAGAAGGGTCAAACTCTCCCTATTGACGGTCTCCAGAACAACGACGCTAATACTGGCGCTTCCCCATACGCTCTCCCCCCAATCACAAACAACATGATTCCTGAATCTAGTCTTCCGATGGGTGGACCTGCGCAACGCGCGGCTAGTGAAACCGAGCCAACTTACACTGGAGGTCCGGCGCAGCAGGCAGCGTTGGCTGATCCTGGATACCATATCCAGTCCGCTGGCCCTGACTCGACCACAGCGGCACTAGCTGCCGCCGTACCGCTGGAGCCAAAGGGCAAGCAGACTAACGGCGACAAGCCCGTCGATGAGGTTCCTCAGGTGGTGAAGGACTCGTTGGCCGAGGCCCACAAGGAACCCGAGGCTGCTGCGAACCAGAAAGCAGTCGACGAGAAGAAGGCTATCGAGGAGGAATTGCACAAGAAGGTCCATGTTGAAGAGTCCGCGGGTGCTCCTGCGCCTACCGTCACTGCGGCCACCCAGCCCGTTGCCCCTCTCCTCACTGTTGGTGGGGTAGATTCGGCGGATGTATCGCCACTCTCGACTCCTCCTCTCGGCCGCAATTTTGCTGCTTCTGCCCCAACTTCGGAGCCTGCCCCAACTTCGGCGCCAAAGGCCACTGAGCCCACTGAGCCGACTGTCACAACTGGCCCCGAGACTACCTCTACTGCCGAAGTCTCGGCTCCCAAGACTGAACCCGCAGCTCCCACTGTAACGACTGGAGTTGAGTCTACTCAAGCACCTGCTACTTCGACCGCAGAGACCGCTGGTCCCACTGAGCCGACTGGAACTGAGTCTACCCAGGTACCTCCTGCTTCCTCCAAGTCCGCAGAGCAGCCTCGACAGTCTCACAGCACTGAAGGTGCTTCTATTAATGGCGAGAAGAAAAAGAAGCACCGCCTGAGCAGCTTTTTCGGCAAGCTCAAGGAGAAGCTTAAGTAGACGGAAATTTCAAATTTCTGACATTGGAATACTTGATTCCAGTCCTGGGTGGTATAGTGGCTGTAGGAGCTGACCGATATCCCATGCTTTTTTGATGCGCGTTCTTTGTTCTGGATACCTCTTCCTGCCTTTACTGCATTGTATTCCTGCAAGCCGCTTTTTTTGTTGATGTCTCGGCTAGTAATTATCGTCTAATGGAAGTACCTTGTTTAATCGTTTTATGCCTAAGCCGAAGTCGGAGCCGAAGCCTGCGTAAAATGTAGTACAGAACTCGGAGTATATGTTGGAATATGAAACATAAGATCAAAAGATCCAATCTCCTGTCTTATCCTGTCTTAGTCTTAAGAATCTTAGAATCCAAGAGACTCAAAACCTACGAAATCTGAACCTATACATTCCCTTGTCAAGGAGTGGGGAGAAAGTCATTTCCTAATTCCGCTCTTCTCCACAACCCCGACTTTGACTTCCCTCTCATTCTCCCTTCTTCTCTCTACACTTCTGGGGTTTCAGCAATGGCTACCCCCACATTATCCATGATCGACCCGACAAAACAGGCCGAATACCCAATTGTTCTGGGGGAAAGGCTTCGAAATCCAAACGCGAGCCGTCTAATCAACGTCAACTACAACCACAAGTCCAAGTCCGCCACCTCACAACAACGTTCGGTCATCACACAATCCCGATCGTCCGACCTCTATGACCTCACCGTTACTGATAAGGCCCCGAATGCCGATCAAACATTGACCTATTCATACAAAGGCAGCGAGGACTCGAGTGAGCGGGGCCTGGTTCTGATCTTCGACCCGGACCGGAAAGTCTTTGTTCTGGAGCCGGTCTCGACAACCTTGAACTTTAATCTACGGTCGGCTCCAGGAAAGACGGAAAAACAGGTCCGCGAGCAATACGAACAACTACAGATAAAGGAAGAGGATGAACCAGCCTCAGGTGAAGACCGACACGGAGGGAGCACCAGCGAGGACGAGGGCCCGGCCGATGATAGCAATCCTTACGACTTCCGACATTTCCTTCCGAAGAATCGCCGAGAGGATGACAAGCCAATCTCAGGCCACAGCACCCCAGAACCTGCCACTAGCAGGGCCAACACACCATTAATACCAGCCGCCAAACCTGCGCCCAGACCTCGACCCACAACACAAACAAACCCGCTGCGACAGACGAAACCCCCAGCAAAACCACCAGTTAAAGCACATGTGAAGCCGAGCGAGCCTGTCAGCTATCCCGACCCACCTGAGCATGAGCAATCCCGCTCGCCGTCCGATGCAGGCACGGGCTCACAACAGACTGGGCAGTCTCCCAGCTCGAACATTATTGTTGACGGAGACCTCATTATTGATATGGGATCCCCACCTCCGTCGCGCCCATTCGTCGTGAACCGGGCTTACTTCTCGTCCAATAATACCCCAGAGGAGGATGGGGATGAAGACGTTGGAGAGTTTAGTTTACCTTCCCCGGTCGGGAATACAGCTCCCCCTACGTCCTCAGAACATACAGGCACGGCTACTCAAGAGGATGAATTGGAAGACGATGATGCTTTGGCGGCGGAGATGGAAGCCGCCTTCGAACAAAGTGCTCGTGAAGAGGAAGCTCGGAGCCACCATTACACACAACCCACGACCAGGCAATATGTTCCCAGTGACGATGAGAGTGAGGTTAGTGAGGAGGAGTAAATGTCCATTTAGCATTTTGTTTTTGTCGCATCTATCAGCGTGGCGCCAGGACGGGCTTTTATTCCAAAGTACTAGATACCAATTGTAATTTTTTTAGGGAATTTTCGGAATGTAATTGCATATCAATGACCAATGGGATTTACACAATTCATTCAACTTATCTTCCTTTCATATATAATATCACAATTTAATGGCTCTTGTAAGTGTAATCCCTCAGCTCTTACATTGAGGCGGATAAATGCTTCCGCTCGGAAAAGCCATTGTTCCGACTAAAAGCTTCCCTTGTCGGCTACGTCAATACGGAGATCGTAAAGCACGAACTAGTTGTACGCCCTCTTGTGGCTCATTAACAGACCCATGTTGATGGGATGTGGATTGGTTTAACAATGAATGAGGTTGAAGCTCCGCCGATATATTAAAAAAAAAAAAAGTCGGGCAGCCACAGATGAGCAGCTATGATAATTTGAAAGATAAAGATGAACAACACTCCAGAGGTGCACCTGAGTTGGCGCAAACAGCTCTCTCAAAGACCAGCGCTTGTATCGATGTAGCTAACCCAATCTGGGTTTCTCATTCTCTGTTCCTGGCAGTCTAGCTCGGGCACGTTACTGCGGTACCTTGCTCTCTGTTGGGCGCGAATTCGAGGCTAGCAGTGAAAGATGAGTGACCGAGAGAAGATCGCTGATGTTCGTACTGCCATCTTTTGATAATGCCGAACCGCCTACCTCTTCTAGATCCCGTATGAGTTTTTCAATCTTCTCTCCCCGGCCGCTTGCATGTAAGATATTGCCAATGGCAGCATGCAACTGTAAGTGCTTAGCTCTAGGAAGACTAAAGCGAGGGTCGTGGCTAGTCAATGTTACAATCCTGTTGCTGGGTAGTAGGGGTATGTAGCCAGATCCGAAGCGTGGGAATAGTTTGAGATGGTAGCAATTAGGAGTCGTGGTGTCCTCAAAAACAAAGTGGAAGAGACCGAACTCTTCATGAATCGGGGTGGTCATCATCATAATATCATCCTCTCGATTCACGTCTTCTGGTGACATATTAAGGGTGGAGCGGAGGCTTGGGAAGTAACGAAAAATGGTTGCCCACACCTGAGAGGTTTCCCGCCTTTCGTCGTCGTTCGTAAAACTTCGAAGGGCGAACGGAAGAATGTGAACAGCTCGTAGAATGCCGGTTGGTTCGCCAGGAGGGGGGTGGTCATTTGAGCTCCACATCTTCGTTATTGTACACCGATACCCTTCTCGTTGAAGGCAATTCCGGCAAAGTCGTTCTTGGTCATTTCGACTTACTGGTGTGATATCAAGGGAGTTCGGATTTTCAACCGAATCGTCAAAGCCGATACGGGGGGATGGGGTGATAGCAGGTGTCATTCCACCCTTGGACAGCAAAGGGCGGAGCAAGCCAGTATCAATGCTAGCGGCTAGCTGACGAAGTTCCTCATCGCTGCGACAACCGGAGACATCCTCTGATAGATTGACCTGCCCATTCAGGGGGAGGTATCTAAAGCAAGTCTCAACAAACTTTTTCGTGTCGTCGCCGTGTCTAACGCTTGGGAACGGCTTGGGCGAGCTGCCCCAGGGCTTCGCTCGTCTGTCTGCCATCTACGGCGGTACCTACATGTTGAACACCGACATCGACGAGGTGCTTTACGAAAATGGCAAGGTTTCCGGCATCAAGGCGACGATGAAGGACCGTGACGACCAATCCGAACTTGTGAGTGTCGCGTCCAAGGATAACTTTGCCTCGGCGAAAGTAGAAAAGTCAGCGGACGAAACGGTAGGGCTGAGACTTGCTGTCGACAGTGTGGACAACAAACAAATGGCCAATGTACATGGCTGAAGATGTAGATGATGTTGGCCGTTGGAGATGTGAGTAAGAAAAGTGATAGAGAGAATAAAAGAAGACAAGAGTCAAAGTAGAATAGTAATGGGGAAAGTCAAAAATTATTTCAGAGATTGGTATGTTGTATATCCGATGCCTAAAAAGAAAGTGACAGGCTCAGTGTTACAAGCGTGGACGGATCAGGTGACTCCCTGGTCACGTGCTCGGAGGATCCTCATTGTACCTGGGTAGCTAGCAGAGATAGTCACAATATCATCATCCCTACTATCATAACTTTCTGTACCAGATTGGTAGGTAGCACGTCAAAGTTACGATTCAGCGGGTCCCCCCTGAGCCCAGACAAAAATTTTCACAACATCCTTCAACTGGAAGCATACCAACGACAACGTCGCGCCTTGCAGGTTATCTGATATTGCTCGATATCTGTGCAGCTCTCCGTTGTTACATATCGTTTATCCCTAACCTCCTTCTTTCCAATTCTCCGAACATCTTCCCCCATCCACCTCGCGCGATGCGCTAGAAAGCGCCGCCATGCTAGATTTGGTTTGACGACTGTGACGTTTGGAACGATAACGATTATTGTTAACCTCGCGCAAGCTCTTCCTCCTCAGGCGCGCTAGATGCGCTTCAACCCTGTCGCCATTGTGTCAATAACCCCTCGTCGATCTTATTCGTCTTTGCCCTCTTTCGCACACCTATGGCTTCCTCAGTACCGCCGAGGCGACGAATCCCCGGCCTACCAAATCCGGTGTTGGAAGCAGAGCAGCAAAAATGGCTTTTCACCGAGGAAGAATTCGAGCGCACGCCATCGCGCATTGATAAGATCGAACGCGGGAAAGAGGACTATATTCGGCACCGCGCAGTCGAGTTCATCTGGCAAGTGAGCGTGATGTTAAAGATGCCCCCGCAGACCTCAATGACCGCCACGGTGTACATGCACCGCTTCCTCATGCGCTATTCGTTGATGGGCCAATATCCAGAGATGGGGTCGGACCTGATGCACCCGAAGGTGATCGCCGCGGTGGCCCTATTCGTCGCGTTCAAGGTGGACGAGGCCATGCGCCGTATGAAAGACTTCGTCATCGCATGCTGCCGCGTCGCCATGAAACAACCGAATCTAATTGTCGACGAGCAGTCCAAGGATTACTGGAAATGGCGAGACCTGATCCTGCAGAACGAGAGCGTCATGCTTGAATATCTATGCTTCGACCTACAGGTCGAGTCCCCCTACCGCATCCTCTGGGACTACTCCCTCTTCCTCGGCGTCGGCGACAACAGAGCTCTGCGCCACTCTACCTACTCCTTCCTCAACGATTCAACATACACAGTCCTCTGCCTCCAATTCCCACCCCGCGTCATCGCCGCCGCGGCCCTATACGCCGCAGCCCGCCACTGCAAAGTCGCCTTCCCCGACGACGCCGAAGGCCGACCTTGGTGGGAGCAGATCGACGTCCGCCTCGACGACCTCATCCGCGCCTGCACCTTCATCGTCAAGATCTACGAGCGCGTCCAACAAAGCCTCAGCAAGGGCTACCCAGACTTCTCCCTTTCAGACTCAACCTCCCACCCCAACGACCCAACCCGCATCTTCGACACCGATCCTACAAAATCATCCTCAGAGCAACAATCCACCCCACCAACCGTCACAGTCACCGACGCTCCAAATGGCCACAAACGCTCACGCGAACCCGAACCTCACCCCAACACACATCAACACCCCCCAGAAAACAATCAAAACAATCCCACAATCAACGGAAACGGCAGCGAACGATCCCCTAAACGCCAACGCACAATAACCCCCTCCCATGAACCAATTCCCGACCAAAAACAACCCCTTCCGCGCGTCCCAGCAGCCGCATTAACAAAAGAAACCCCCCAGTCCACCTTCCTCCCAATCGCCGAGAAATCGGGCTCAAATGCACCAAAAGAAGAGTCCAGCGAAGAAGGCGAACTACATGAAAAACAACATGTCGTTCCAGTCGCGCATCACCCTACGGATGTGGATCGGAGTAAAACAGACTCCCAGCGAGAAGAGGGCGAGGCTGATGATGATGGTGCTGGAAGTGAAGAAGGCGAGATCTAAGAGATCTATCAATTGGATAGATTAGGTTACTGTTGCGGTGGCCTGGGGGAGATTACCATTTATGAGAATGAAACGGAAAATGAAAATTTCTCCTTTGCTGTTACTGTACTTTATCCAGTGGTTAATTGTAATGTAGAAGTATTTTACGAGTTCCAAGGTTTCAAGTATCAATAATGTAAGATTCAATTCCATTCCAGATTCATGTCAGAGATGTATATGCGTGAAACTCCTGTGCGATGCGATATACCATTTGTGTTCAATGAGTTCGTATTGGAAGATGAACTAGCAGATAACAATCCACCGGCTACATGACATGCAATGCAATGTACGAGTAAATGCATGGACACCGGCCGGACGTAATGCGAATATGTGCCTCTTCGTTCTGCGATTCATATTCATCCTTGTGTTCAATGTTCTCAATCCCCTTGTCTTCTCCTCAGTCAAATCACTAGATCTCATTTAATATCCAGCAGTCATAATCCCCAGTCCATGATCCAGCAAGCTGCTAGAAGCAACGTAGCTGAACCCTCCGAACGGGTTACTCTCAGCGCCAAGCTCGTCACCGTCTGCACCCTTTCCAGCTGGGCAATTCTGCCCCTTTCCGTAGTACTCGTCGAAACCGGCAGTGGTAACCGTCGGGCTGAGTGGGAGGTGAGTAAAATCGGCGGAGAAGTTCTCCGCGAGAGCGGGGTCTGTGACGACAGGCTGGATTGGGGGAGATAGCTCACGGCGCTCAAGGGCAGCCCAGTCAATTTTGCGGAAGAAGCGATGTTTCTTGATGATCTGTAAATCCTTCTGCATGTGGTAGCCGAGGCGCTTGGAGGGCTCTTTGCGGAGGAGACGGGTGAGGAGGTCTTTAGCGTCAGGTCCGAGGAAATAAGGGAGCGTGAGCTTTTGCTTGACGATCTTCTCTTGGAGCTTTGCGTGGTTGTTTGCGCGGAACGGGGGTGAGCCAGTGAGGAGGTCGTAGCCCAATGCGCCGAGGGACCACCAGTCGCATGCTTTGCCGTATGGCTTGCCTTGGATCACTTCTGGTGCCATGTACTCGATTGTGCCGAGGAGGGAGTTACAGCGGTCGTCGTCGCTGAGGGCGATCTTGCTGAGTCCGAAATCGGTTAGAAGGAGGTGGCCTTGTGCGTCTAGGAGACAGTTCTCGGGCTTCAGGTCGCGGTAGAGAACGCCGACGTTTTGGTGAAGGTGGGCTAGTGCGAGGACCATCTCTGCCATGTAGAAGGCTGCTGCGTCTTCTTCGAACATGCGTTCCATGGCTAAGTGGGTGAAGAGTTCGCCGCCTTGCGCGTACTCTAGGATCAAGTAGAGTTTCTCGTGGTCTTGGAAGGCATAGAATAGCTTCACGACAAAGGGGTGGCGATTGACACTTTCTAGGATTGTGCGCTCTGTCTTAGTCTGCTCGACTAGCTTTTTGTGGACTGTGAGAGTAGCCTTCCGGAATTGTTTCTGGGCATAAAGTTTGCCCGTGACGACGTGGCGTACCAGCAACACGGTTCCGAATGAGCCCTTCCCTAGACAGAGGATAGGCACAAAGTCTTCTGCTGTCATTTTGCGACACAGTTGACTGCGCAACTCCGGATTCATACCTGGGACATCTGCGTTGAGGTCGTCCAATGCCTCTGGTTGCACTACGGCGGAACTAACAAAGTCCTGATCCAGAGGGATTTCATAGCTAGTCAAGATCTCAGTCTGATCGCTATCGGAGTAAACACTGGGGGTCTGGGAGACAAGTCCGCTAGAGCCAGTTGTGTTGTCAGACAAATTTAGAGTGTTGAGTTGGAGCTTCAAAGCGCTGACCCCATGGCCTGCGGGGGCCTGTACCAGTGGGCTTGCACCACCAAGGGCAGTGGGAGGTCGAGAGGGTGCACGTGAACTCGCAGCGGAGAAGTCCGATTCCTCGTCGCCGGATGCCAGAGGAGTGAAACCGTGAACAGTTGCGCATGTCGACACGAATTGGCCCTTCTTCTTCTTCCCTCGCTTTGGCAACATATTCTCGTTGAGAGTCTGGTTTGCGAACCCATTGAATTCCTTGGCAGTCTGCTCCGGGGGTGACATGATGCCCGTGTGTGCATTTGGGCGACGGTGATTGGTCGGGATGTCAATGACGCTGTCGGCCTGCGGCGCGAACACGTCTCCGACCGACAGGTCGTCAGCATTCGAGGAAGGCATTATGCTTTTGTTGTATCACCTGCGATAGTTCCGCGACTAATGCGAAACACCCCTGTTGATTTAGGTGAGATTGCCGGCGATAACCGCAGTGTCGACAATTGACCTTGCGCGGTTGTAGAGAATGGTAGCCAGGTATTTAGAATACCTAACTAACAGTCGCTGTTCACATAGAGACCACCCGTTAGCCTTGATCGCCTGTATCTTGGATATTGACTGTAGAGAATGAATAGAGGGGTAGGTGAGGGTTTTCAGGCCCCCACTAATAGCCAAGGTAAAAACGTAAAAGAAATTGAAAAAAAATAAAAATAGCAAACGAAACGCTGATCAAAGGGACTTACTTCAACTTGAGGAATCTATTGCATCAATAAACGGATTTTCCTCAGTGCCCGAACTAGTCGATAGACCAGCCTTGAATCTTTCGAGCAGGTTTACCGTCCGCCCTTCTTCAGGACGGACCCGGGACCCCTAGCCAAGTCACCTCGCTGGCCGAGAAGTCGAAGGCCAAGGTGAAAGGAGACAACAAGTGTGTCGACACGGAAATATCAGCAGGGGAGTTGAGATTCAGAAGGGGAGGATCAAGGTTGGCAGGGAAGCCAGTAAGAGAAATCAAAGCGAGCGATGACGAAGGCGCAGATAGGCACATAGAGGATGAAGATATTTGCAAATAGAGATTATCAGTTCTTCCTCAGGAAGTGAAACAAAGAAAAGAGATCCTGCAGAAAATCGAATTTCAAACGCAGATCCGGGGGGCTGAGCTACTAGTCCCGATTGGGATTTCACGTGTCAGATGCTGACATTAATATGATCTTATAGAGGTCCACGGATATTGGGATTTTATATTGATATATACACATGTTGTATATGGGTGATATCGTCTATATTATAGTCTTTTTTTTTTGTGCAAGTGGTTCTACAGCCTCACACAGCCTCAATACTACATCAACTTGCATATGAGTCTCGATATGCATACTGCAGCCTCCTGTATAACATGGAACTCCTTACGCGGCTCTTAGCGACTCTCAAAGAAAGCCTTCGAGCGAGTAATCTCCACACCAGACCGCTGGACAAAGGCAAGAGCACTTGGCTTCTCCACCTTGACCGTCACACTCTCATTGCCAAAGTCCACAGTCACAATGCGAGCAATGAAAGTAGCCAGAGACTCGACCGACTGGAAATCAGTCTGATCCACCTTCTACAATATCACAAGTCAGCAAAAAGGTCCCAAGACAATACCAACAAAAGCACCAGAGAAAGAACATAAGACACATACCTCAGCCACAGCCCGCGTCACAGCCTGGTAAGTATCAACAACAGTAGACCCCCAAGCAAGCTGCCCAGGACCCTGGAATGTAAGGCCAACTACAACAGCCTGTTTCTCCAACCTCTCATGAGGATTCACACCCAAAATAGCATAGCACCTAATCCCCTCAATCCGGAACTCCTCCTCCATAACCACCAAACCCCTCGCCTCTCCGCCAGCCACCTCCTCCCCAAGCGCAATAACACCGCGATACCGAAGCCCCTCATCCGCGCGCAACAAAGCCTTAGGCAAATGCAGCAGAACCTCACACTCCCCATAAGCCGCCGAGATAGGATTCGGCTGCTTCGCCGCGGTGATAGCAGATGTAGTCTCCAACAGACCCAATCCAGCATCCGCGACAACTCCCGCTATCACGCGCGGGTCCTGGCCTAGTCCGCGACTCTGCATTTCCTCGCGTCGCGTCCCGGACAGACTGATCAGTCGGTTGGATGGGTGCGATGGGGAAGAGATGTTCTCGCCCATGTTGCGTACGTCGCTTTCTAGTCGGCGGAAGAGCTTGCCGTAGTCAAGGGTCAGTGAGACATTGTCGGTTTCGGCGGCTGTGATTATGGAGGAGTAGGAGAGCTTCAGGGTTGCGGTGCATGGTTGGGATTTTCCCTGGCGGTGCCAGGCCTCTGGGGCGCAGGGGAGGGGGAGCTCGATGTCGCGGAGACGGACGCTGTCGAGGACATCGGGGCGGGGTGGGAGTTGGATAGGTTGGGAGGCCATGATGTAGGTTAAGGAGAGGAATTGGCTAGTACGCAATCATGAATATTAAGTTGAAGGAGGGGTGAGGGTTTTTGGCGGGGCACACCCGTGGTAGGTCATGACGAACCCACACGGACATTTCCCCATGTCCATATCCCCAGGTATAGCTTAGCTAAGACTTTACACTTCCGTTAGTTATGTTGTACATATCCAATTCCTCGTCTCTCGTCTATACATTCCCGATCGGCTACCATGGCAGCTTCATCGGGCTTTAGCACCGCTCCACCAGGCTTGTTCTCCGCAGTAACGCAGGCAGACTTTACGAATAGCCGGTACACTGTGTTGGGCTTGCTGGACAAGTCTACCTAAAATTTGTCCTGTCGTGCCCCACGATGACCCCAAGGTGAGACTACCCTGCCTTTTCGAACATGAACTAATGAACCCTGCTTTATTCAGATTCTAGTATGGGAGCATGCTGGTCTCTTCAAATTCAACTACCAAAGTACACATAACACAATTCCCCTTTTTAGTCCTTGCCATAAAGAGCTCGATATGTCACTCAACCCTAGCTAGGTCTTTTGCCTACAGATCTACAATACTTCATTGATTTTGAACGTCGGGATCGTGCTCAACGAGATCAAATTGCAACTGAGACTGGAATTCTTATCTCCTCTATTTCACGGCAGGTACTAGTTAATTGATTGGCAAAAGCATTGGGATGGTTTCAACGCTAAATGCCAAGAGCCTTGACCTCCTGCGGAATCCTAGATTAGCGCCGATGCAGTATTGACAGTCTCATCACATACTCCTGCATACAACCTGCATCCAAATTGTATCGAAGGATGGCATTTCAATTCGGACTGCAGTCAAACTGCTTCTTCTTACCAACACGGTGAGCCTACTAGTGAGGGATTTTCTACATCCATCTACAGGGGTAAGACCGTAAGAAGTCTATAAATATAGGATTCTCGCCCGGCAGAGATTAGACAGTTTACAATTCATTTGTACTATACTTCTAGTATTAAATCATCTTTGCAGGACCTTCCCATACATTCTCTGTACTAGTTTCATACTGTACATTTTAAAAGAACCGGATATCACCGCCGTCAAATGATATGCCTAAGTTAGTTAGCCTTATTAACACACTAGTCGCAGTATCTATCTTACACAGACAGTATAGTAAGAAACCGTAATAATCTTCGATATCGGACGATCCTATCTTTTCCTACGGGGGCCGCCATGAGATCTGACAAATAACCATAATTAAAAGAAGAATTCAATATGTATAAGAAGAATGTGAGTATGAATCATTTATTTTGAGAATAGCAGCTCGACTAAATTCTGATGTCGGAGACAGATGAAAAGGACCTGCACTGACGACAAAGTACTCATAGCTCTGGGCTTTGATGAGTGCAAATGAGATTAATCCCAGATTGGGTGGACTCATGGGAAGACCGAATGGATCTTGCTAGGTTACGTTGGCTTCACTGGCTCGACTGCCCTAAAAGTGGAAATGGGCTTCCATGCCGGCCAAGCCAGATAGGTATTTTGCTTCGAAACCTTTGAGTGAAAGGTTCCATGGATATATGCGTACCAGTCCTCCCACGCCTTCTTGCAGCCGGTGACATTCCTCCTCCAGGTTTCCTTGTACTTAAAGCTCAGGGCCACGTACATGTCGGCAATCTCTCTCTTGTCATCACTCGGGAGTGGCAGCATCTGAATGTACAAATCTCCGTCGACAACCTGCAATTGCTTGACGAGGTTGAGTTCATTAGAACGGATATGGATTTTTTCCCATGTCTCGTCCCCACCCCAATGAAGTTCGGTCCCATCTGGAACCCCCTCTTCTTCATAAAAGTCCTCCCAGATATCGTCGTTCCGGAATTCATATCTTGCCACCTCTTCCACCTCCATCATCATTCCGATTCCCAGTTCATTCACTGCATACTTGAAAGAACCCTCTTCAGTCAAGTCCTTGAGCTCTTTGATATTCCGCGTCACTGTCACGTGTCCCTCCCCGGTAGCCTTGAAGCCCAATGCCATATCTTTATAGCTCAACGCGGCCGAAGCTTCAACCGAAAAAGAAGCCTTTCCGTAGAGCTCCTTCTCCAAGACATTGGTTGTTTGGACTTTGATCGTAGTTGTGAGTTCGCTTTTCGGGTAAAATTGAATTAACATAACGTACGGGACCCATCGAATAGGCCGATACACCACAATGTCGCCGTTGATCCATTTTGGTTCGTGCTCATGTATGTAAGGGAATACAGAGCGAAAAGGTGCCTTTTTTTTTGTATGATCCATATTTGGGTGGAGGATAAACTGTGGCACGTCCGGCAGATACTCCTTCTTGATTCCGATGTCCGCCAGCACTTTTTGATCAAGTCTGATTCCCTCGCTGTGCTCGGCCATCGGCAGGGAATGCATTGGAAAGTCGCTTGGCTCATATTCCACTTGCCCGAAACGATTGAGCTTGGGCTTGAGCTTTGGAAAGTTGTCCATGACGAAGTCCGTCGGCTGGAATGGAATTGGGGGTAAAATGTAAAATTTCAGAGAGAAAAGGATCAGGAGTTTGCGTTTGTTTGATGGGTATAATTCTTCTTGAGGATTGTGTGAGGTATTTATGATTCCTCAAGTGTGTACGTACTCATTTCCAGTTGAACAATTTCCCCCTCCCTTCCTTGTTTTGGTTATTGTAGGGCCTGTATTGCACTTCAGCTCTCCCTCACCCACATATTCTCCACTCACTAGCACTAGTATCCAGATACTTGCATGGTCGGGCAGCTATGCATCAAATAAATCTGGCCTGCAGGGCGGTTGGTCCGACGGTCTCTGAGCCGGGAAGCGTCCTTTGAACAAGGCCATCCATATTTGCAACTATGTAGCTGGGCTGGCTGGACTAACATCCACATTTATCATCATAATATTCTTATTGGCTTATTATCACGTTCTCCGTCATACTACATATGTATGATGTCAGATCTGAACATGTCTTGGCTGGCTGTGGCTGGCTGAAATGCACAGAGCTTTTAATCTGATAACAGTAAAAAGACACAAGAGAAACTCTACATAGAGGAGTGAGATGGGAGCCAACGTTATTGACTGAAGGTATATGTATGAGCTCTGTATATTTACTCAGGTCAATCAACAATGTTCAATTGTAAGACCTACATGGCGAAAGGGCCCTTCAGCATTCTCTTCTCTCGCACCAACCACATCTACGTACCACTCCAGAAATTCCAGAAAATCTCTGTAGCCTGGGGCCATTTTGAGTCTAGCTCATGAGGGATAAGTTGGTCTTGGCAAGGGGATTGGGAAAGAAGAAGAGTGTGCAAAAACGCAAGGCGATTTTGCAAGCTACTGTAATGGTTCTAATTTGCGTTTAGAAGGTTTCGAAGATTCAATACACGACAGTAGAACACCAACGAAGCAAATCATATTATAGAAATTAAATATTTGATTCCCCATCCTGCTTAAATTGATCGCAATCATCGTTAACGTAATTCACTACCGAGTGGCCGCCCCAAAACCTACATATTAAATTTAAATGCATATAACACCACTAAAACGCCATTAAATTAAATATAATAAAATCATCTATCTACCTATGCACCTATTAATTATATGCCCTATTTTTCCACACCTACTACACTTTGATAGGGCCCGTGTACGTGGTTGTAAAGCCGGCGAGTCGCTTATTTGTAGCGGGGGTATAGGTGCTTCTACTACTTCTACTATCTTAGTAATTAATTAAGAAGCTTCTTAAACCGAGAGGCCTTCTTTAGTAGGTATCTACCTTTGGGATCGAGTACGCTTTTATTTCTACTTCTTATTTTCGGCGCGTCATTCCTAGTTTTCTTTAGCAAGTAAGAAGGCGGAAGCCTTTTATAAGCCTATACAGACCCGCATGGATCTAGTTAGATCCGTACTTGCACACATAGGGCGTCTTGGCCCCCGTATTCTATAGTATTTAGCTACTGGCATATCCAGTCTACATAAACCATGCGATCATTCTCTGAATCACATTAGTAGAAATTACCCTCTAAGGAGAGATTTCTAACCGCCGTTAGAAATAGTAGTAGATATACCTACTTTCTTAGAAATAATTTTCCGACTACAGTTAGAAATCTATATCAGATAGAGTATATATACCTACCTCTACCACAAATATATATTTTTAATAGTATATACTATTTTTTGTAAAAAAATTATAGGGCCGGTTAGTTTCATGTGTTTACTTTCTTAATATATATATGTGCTATCGGGGTTTGCCGGAGATGACCACATCACCAATATATATTTTTGGCTCAACTTAGCCCTGGAGATATTTATACAAATAAACAGTGCTTCTACACTATTACCACTAAATTTATTAAAATGTAGGTCAAGCTAGGATATCTTACACTGACATGACTTTGGAGGTGTTACAAAGAAACAAATCAAAGTAAAAGATTAAGATTTTTCAGATGCTAAGACAAACACAATAGTCCAGGATGGACAAGAAAACCATAAGGCAATAACCATTCAGCATCCAGCCACCCCGAAGCTATCAGGGAAGAAAGAAATTGAGAAACTCGCCCTGTCCCCAGGAAGGCCGCGAGAACACGCTGGACGAAACCTCGGCAGGTGAAAAAAGATCATGACACCATGAAATCAGTACGAGACGTTGCGGGTATTTGGCGAAGGTCAAAAAATGATCGTAGAACGGAAGAATATGCAGCAAATCCAACGAAGACCCGACACCATCTACCAGTAACGAGGACGGTCGTAAGGCACATACTCGCCTCGGGGTGGAGAGCGAGGACGACCATAGCCCCGTGCAGCTAGATAAGGATCATCGTAGTGGCGAGGAGGTGGGGGAGGGCGGGCCTCATAGGGGTCTTCGTAGGGACGACGTGGGGGTGGGTAGTCTTCCATCCGGGGACGAGGGGGAGTCCGGCGGGCATAGCCATCCCGTTCATAGTAGGGATCACGGCGGATAGGAATTGGCGAGCGCTCACGGTAGTGCTCCCGAGGACTGTATCCACGTGGGGGAGGGATCCGGCGGTCGTACTCCTCCATGGTGGCAGGGTAGGGACGACGAGGTGGGGAACGAGACCGGTAGGGGTCACGAATGGGGCGTTCCTCAAAGTTCTGAATCTATGAGTTGGTGAGAGGGTGTTCCAGGTCCAAGCCAGGATGGGCGCTTACATCGGCGACACAAGATACGACGGAGCCCTTGAACTCTCGCTGGTCCAGTTTCTCCACGGCGGTCTTCAGGTCATTGGCGGTTTCAAATTCCACAAACCTTGGTTAAACGTTAATGGATCGGACGGGTCTCTCGCGGAATACAGTTCACCTACCCTCTGCCCTGTTCTCGGCCAGTTTCAGAGTACACCACGTCTAGTCCAGACTGGCGGGCGAAGTCTTTCAAGTCCTATTTAATGCATGGTGAGTCCAGGCCCAGGTAAGGTAAGGTGTCCGGCAAATGTGGAGAGAAAAGGTAGGCACTCCATGTCCAGTCCGAGGAGGGGGTATCCAAAATGGCCATCTCATATCGACATCCAAAAGTCCCAGGAAAGGTTCCATGGGGTATGATAAAAAGGTATGGTGAGTATGCAAGGATTCGGCAATTCTCAAATCCCGAGGTAAAAGAAAAAGCCCTTAGAAGAATTTTTCAATCACCAGGAGACGAGTGCCATTGGATTAGTACTCCAGGATCCTTGGCTCAACCTATGGCCCTGAGAACAACGGACTGGAAGCATGTGTGGGCTGAGTAGAGAGGCGGGTTTGAGGAATCTACATCAGGGACTCTGGGAAGGAATGGATTTGGGCTGCTAACCTGCCAACTTGTTTCTGGAAGACCGGAAATCTGCATGCGGAACATAGTGCGACGTGGACGAGGGAGAGAATTGCGGTCTGGCGGTCCCTGGAAAGCCTCCTTACGGCGCGGGCCGCGAGCGAACTGAACGGTGAGGCGCTCGCCTTTGAAGTCACTGCCATCTGTAGTATTGATAAGCGGGAGGTAATCGGTGAAGAGGTCATGGGGACATACGGAAAGCTACAGGAAAACAACGTTAGCATGTGTGCACACAAATGAATGTAATATGAGAGTCGTTCTTACCGGGCACAATATCTCTGGCATCCAGCTGGTCGTCATATTCGATGAAGCCGAAGCCGTTCATCAACTTTATCTCCGTGATCTTACCGGAGCCATGGCTGCTGAAATGTTCCTCGATGTCGCTTTTGGTCACTGTAATAAATAAAATGAAGTATGTTAGCGTATCAGTTCTCAAAAGGTTCAAAAGCACCGGTTAGATGACTATCGGAGGGGGAAGCTGTTCCATGAAGCTCTCTCATTTGCTCACCCTGATAAGGGTGGGCCGAGGCGGGCATTCCGGACAAGCACACAAGGGATCAGAGCACATGACACTCTGACCACGAAGTGAAGCGACCGGGTCATGCAAGGTGGTGCGTGTGTTCTCAAAAAGTCAGGGAAAAGCGATCAGGTGTCATACCGTTGCGGGGAAGGTTCCCAAGATAAAGCCGGGTGGAGGAAACCTCGGTCATGGCTCTGAAATAACCGATTGAAGATAAAAATGATAGAAAGGAAGCTGAAGGTAGCTCTGGGGGAATATGGAAGAGATCGAAAAGGTGGGAATGCAGAGAGAAGTTATTTGCGTGCTGCAGGAAAGCGCGCGTAACGTGTAACACGACAAACGATCCAGATGGTAAATGTACAGCACTTAAATCAGAGCTGAAATAGTGCAAACAAAAGATACAGAGAGAGAGGGGAAGAAAAGAGAGAGAAAGTACCTGGCGGTGGACTAGCAACTTTGGCCGCCTCACTTTTGATCCACGTGGTTCCACCTAAATAGAGGGGAATATGTAAATAGAATACATATTTTAGTATTATATTTACATGTAGAATATGTAGAATATCAATAAATCCTTATACTATGTTTACTGTGTATCTATCTATATAAACATTGATGTACAAAGCAAGGCTTATCCCTCGTGGTACTCTCCACTGTCATTCCACGGTTCTGCCAACCCCATGGGGTCCGGCCTATTTTGATCTATATACATTCCTGTTCGCCTTTATATTGCATTCTCCGAATTAAATCTCCTACGACTGAATATCACGTCATGATGTACTTAGGTCCCTCTCCACCTTGAGGTGTTTGCCAGTTAATGTCTTGTGTGGGAACCTTGATATCACAAGTCTTGCAGTGGATGCAGCTGCATAGGTTAGCACATAGATCACGATATTAATATATTTAGGTGCTTACTTTTGTGAGTTGATTTGGAATCGGACTCCGTGCTGTTTGCTAGGGTCTTCCACATATTCATAGACGCCTGCGGGACAGAATCGGTTTTCAATACCCTTGTAAGCAGGCCATGCGAGGTCCGTGTGTTTATCCAAGTCCTCCACCTGCAGGTGAACCGGTTGGTCTTCCTCGTGGTTGGTGCCAGTCCGGCTCACACTAGTCAGGATATCGAAACTGATCTCCCCATCGGGC